AGTCAACTAGAGGCAGAAAATTGCAAATGGTCATGTATGTTTGGAGAAGTGGAAGTTCCAGCAGAGGTTATAGCAGATGGTGTTCTTCGTTGCTGCACTCCGATGCACGAGGCTGGAACCATTCCTTTCTATGTAACATGTTCGAATAGATTAGCATGTAGTGAAGTGCGGGAATTTGAATACAGGACTGGCCACATTCAAAGTAAGGATAAGGAAGAGAATTTTAGTGGCAGTGCAATTGAACATCTTCAGATGCGGTTTGGGAAATTATTGCATCTGAGTTCTGTTTGTCAAAATTCTAATGCCACCAGTGTACATGATGTATCTCACCTAAGCAGTAAAATCAGTCCATTGCTGTTGGAGAACCCTGATGAATGGGACCAAATGTTAATGCTTGCTTCAGGGCCCCAATTCTCCCTTGAAAAGGTAAAGGACCAGTTGCTTCAAAAGTTACTGAAAGAGAATTTGCATTCATGGCTCTTGCAGAAGGCAGCTGAAGGTGGAAAAGGCCCAAATGTACTAGATGAGGGTGGTCAAGGTATTATACATTTTGCAGCTGCGCTTGGCTATGATTGGGCCTTAGAACCCATAAAACTTTCTGGTGTTAATGTTAATTTCCGTGATGTAAATGGATGGACCGCACTTCATTGGGCAGCATTTTGTGGCAGGTGAGTGCCTTGAGAATCTTCTGATTCTTCCTTTAAATAAAGTCCCCTCTTAATTGTGTTTTTGGTTTACATGTCTGGTGTGTTCTTTGATTTTTAACTCCCTCCATCTGCTTTTCAGATTATAGGCCAGGATTGTTGCTTTAAATTTGAGACCTTCTTCAAAATAAGCAGTTCTTTTAAGAACATAAGTAAAAAAGTTAACATCTTTCAAAAAGGTTTATATGTGGTATTATGTGTGTTGTTTAATCAGTAGATAGTCTGTATGTGTGGTATTATGTATGTTGTTTATGGTTTTATTAGGTAGATGTATGTGCTGCATAAAGTGTGGTATTTTCTCGGTTTATTTGTTACATTTTTATGAAGTATTGTTAGTGTTAGTAGGGGAAAAGCAGGGAGAAACAGATGGGCCGTTAATGCTGTTCCAGAGAATAACTCCTAAAATAATTGCTTCTCTTTATTTTATTTGCTCTATTGGTGAGCAGTAGGGTGTGTAGTTGAAGGGAAGAACAGGTAAGCTAGGATAAGGAATATGGGTAGTTGTAAATAGCTATGAGAATACCTTCCAGCATAGCTGCTTCTCTTTTTATTAAAAGACCAAGCTGTTTTAGTTGATAGATTATGAATGACTAATTGATTTACAAGTTTCAATTACTTGTCTTACTCAAGAGATCACATAGGATTCTCTGTTAACGAGTCCTAATTTATTTCAAAATGTGTAAAGATAGGAAAACTAAAAAATACTCAAAAACTTCTGCAGATTTTCATTTTAATAATCCTATAACTAGATCCATTAGTCAGTATCATAACAAGTTCACATAAAATGTTCTTCTTTAAGAGAAAGGATGATGCAAATAATCTTGAAACATAGGCGAAATAAGTCAAACTGAAAACATAGCAAAACGAATTTAGCAAGGAAAAAAGCTTTTATTTTTAGTTCTAATTTTTCTTTTTGGTGGAGTTGAGGGTTGAACTACTTCCGAAGCAGGGATGTGGAAGGGAGTCTTGCGATGCCACTATATTGGATGACTACAGTGCATTACTACTTAAGCCTGCCTTTTAATCTGTTGAATTGATTTCACTCAGGATACTCTCAACTTTTCCTTACTATCATGTATTTTGAATTTCAGAGAGCGGACAGTTGCTTCCCTCATTGCTCTTGGTGCTGCTCCTGGTGCTTTAACTGATCCAACTCTCAAATATCCTTCTGGTAGTACAGCTGCTGACCTAGCTTCTGCTAATGGACACAAAGGAATTGCTGGTTATCTTGCAGAATCTGATTTGAGTGCGCACCTCTCATCTCTTCATTTGGAGAACCAAGCTGATGCTGCAGACATCTCTGACAGGAAAGCTGTAGAGACAATTTCAGAAAAAAGTGCACTACCAATGAACTATAGAGATTTACCTCAGGGATCATCTCTGAAGGATTCATTGGCTGCTGTCTGCAATGCTACTCAAGCTGCTGCTCGTATCCATCAAGTTTTCAGGGTGCAGTCCTTCCAAAAGAAACAACTAAAAGAGTTAAATCATGTCAATTCTGGAATGTCAGATGAACATGCCCTTTCACTCATATCTGTTAAAACCAGCAAGCCAGGACATGATGAGCCTGCCCATGCTGCTGCAATACGGATACAAAATAAGTTCCGAGGTTGGAAAGGCAGGAAAGATTTTTTAATAATTCGGCAGAGGATTGTTAAAATTCAGGTGAATGGTCATCATTGCTTGTATTTTTTCATTTGTCTTTATCTTCTGCTTTTTATTTTATATTCTCAACGATTATTGTCTTTCCATCCTTTTTCCAAAACCATTTTGTTTATTATTGAATCTTACATTTGCTTGGTCAGGCCCATGTGAGAGGCCACCAGGTCAGGAAAAACTATAAAAAGATAATTTGGTCAGTTGGAATATTGGAGAAGATTATCTTGCGTTGGAGACGGAAAGGAAGTGGCTTACGCGGATTTAGATCAGAAGCAGTTACCGAGAGCATGCAAGATACATCCTCAAAGGAGGAGGATGATGATTTTTTCAAAAAAGGCAGGAAGCAAACAGAGGAAAGGCTGAACAAAGCTCTTGCCAGGGTTAAGTCCATGGTCCAGTACCCTGAGGCCAGAGATCAATATCGTAGGCTGCTAAATGTTGTTACTGAGATCCAGGAAAGCAAGGTAACTGAAATTTTTCCTCTGAAATATTTCTTTATTTACTGATGGATACTTCGTATCGGTGAGGATGACGTGGTATTTGTATTATTATACTTCATCATACATGAGACTCTTGGTTTTGGACTTCATTGCATGGAATATTGTTGGAAGCATGTAGTTGGTGATAAATGGGATGGCTTCAACTCACCCTAGTGCTTTGAATTCCTAATGAATATGAAAGGTTTGATAAAGGCCCTTGATTTTTTTGGTATAACTAAAAGATTTTTTTTTTTCATTTTTTGGTAATAACAACCAAGTATTTTCTGTCATCGTTGTGAGAAAAATTTTAAAAGAAAATACACAGTAGATTCTCATACGCACTCAATATTCTTTTTGTATTCTCTTATCTCAAAAAACAATATTCTTTTTGAGATATACTTTCTATACAAGGACTTCATTTTTCTTTTTTGAAATGGCAGATCCAATTATGATATACGCCAAACTTTATCAACATCTGTATAATTTAGCCAATTATATATCATGATAAATACTAGATTTTCATAGCACTAAATAAAAATAGCCCTAAAAAATCATGGCTTTTGGTTTAGTAACATCATAGATTAGCTTCAGCTTCGAGAACTTGTAATCACCTCTTCTATCAACAGGACGGATCTTAGTGACTCATTGAAGTTTTACCTCCTTAAATACAACAAAACTCTTGCCTTAGGAGCTTACTTCTATGTTCCACTCATTTTGCAGGTTGCCAATGTTCTTCACATCTCAGAAGAAGCTATCTATTTTGATGATGACCTAATAGATATTGAAGCATTGTTGGATGATGACACTTATATGCCGACTGCATCTTGACTGATCTCATGCTTCATGATATTTCTTCTGTAAAATGTGCTGCTTCCCCAGAATTCTTCTGTAAATGTAAGTTATTTACCATAATTTAATCTATTTATCTCTTAGATGCGAAGTGGGTTAATAGTTTTATTGATTGCTGCTAACCTCTGCCAGTGTCGATGGGGCTTCCCGAGAATATGTGACCAATGGCAAAGCCATAAAGATCTAAAAATAATTGAAACAAATAAGTGGAACTTCTACACATAGTTCAGTTGTTCGGTGAAACCATTAAACAAAAATGTTAGTAACATTTTTCATTTCTCGTTATTCTCTACTTCTCTTAATCTTCATTTGTTTTTCCACAACCTAAGCATAGGCATAATGGGATGAGATCATTACTACCTGCTGAGTTAAGTTGTTATTATGGTCTTGGAGGTTCAAATTCACACTAACTTCAACTTTGGTTATATGTATAAAAATTGAAATGGAAAAATAGGTACAAATCACTGGTAGGTTGGATGGTTAAGACTTCCTTTCTTAGTTTAAAAAGTATGGTTTTGAACTCGGAATGTTGAACGCACCTTGTCTTGGGTATGGTCCAAAAAATATATATAAAGCAGGTGAAAGCCAATCCTAATTTCGGACATTGCATGAAAACTTTGGTGTAGTAAGGTTGCCTTTGCCACTTGGTTCATTTCTATTTTAAAATTTTTAATCCAAATTCAAATTATATGATAATAGAGCAGTGTGTACTACAAAGTGAATATCCTTAATCTTAATCTGAAGATGTTTATATTTTAATTTATTTCTAACGGTCGTCCTAATCCAATTGGAAGTTGTTTTCTTAAAAATCGAAGCAAAGCATATAGGCTCACTTTCATACACGCAGATGCACAAATTTATACGGCCCAGCACTCGCTTACCTCAATCAAAAATTCTCAATATGTCAGAGACTCGAAAGAGAAAAGTGTAATTACGCTTTCATTATCAGAAGTACAAACTTCTTTTACAAATTAATTTTAAATGTTATTTTATCAACATCAGGCACTCTAAAGAGGACAATGTAATCACTCTGTCCATTCTGCCATGTGCGTTTAATTTTGGATCTTATTGTACCATTAATATGAGCTTGGAGGCTTGCAAAAATGCAACCATAATTTCGAAAGCAATAATTAGTACAAAAATACATAACCAAGGCCTTGGAGAAATCATTTGCCTGGGAAGAAAGTTAGGACAAGTACATATGCGTCGTGTTTCTAGCGTCAAAAACATTTTAGGCCATGTAAAAATACAAACTGTCGCTGTGAAATTTTCAGACACAACATATACACTGCTGCTCTTTTTCATCTTATTGTGAAAAAGTAAAAAGGACCAAAAAAAAAAAAAAAAAAGGAAAAGAAGAAAAAGATGAAGAGGACAGTGTGCTTCCACCATCCCACTGTACATAGCAACCACCTAAGTATACATTTTTCACAACCAATATCATCTCACTGGCATTTGAGAGCTCCACCAACGGATTTTTTCAGAAAAGAAGATAGAAAGGTAGGGCGGAAAAGCATGGATGGAAAATGAAAGGAAAATTGAGTCCAAATGACTAGAATTTCCTACTCTTGTAAAATCAACACCTCCCCCTCTTCTCAGCTCTTGGTACTGGCACCAAGACTCTCATAGAACAAGATGTACCCATGATCAGTATTACTTGAATACTCCTGAGCTGACCCGAAAAATGTCTGCACTGCAGACTCGTCAATCATCTCTACATTTTCGTCATCAAAAAATAACCAATGGTTATGGCTTTTCACGAGGCTAACATAGTGTCCATGATTGGGCCCACTCCCAACATGGACAACTACGGCAAACAGTGAATATTCTATGTCTGCATCTTCTACTGTGTTGCTGAGCTTTAGCTCGAGTGGGAAGACGACTCGGTAAGAAAGCTTCTTGTACCTTCCCAGTTGTTCAATGTATTTGAATCGTTTCAAATGAATGACAAGGATGTGAGGAGGCTTCTTTATCTTCATCCTCTTCTGTGCTTCTTGTAAACTGCACACGATGTTGAAGGTTTGTCAGCATTTTGTTGTCAGATTATAAGCTTATGTATGGAACAAATGAATTATTTTCGTAGAATCCATTTGGAAATCTTAATTTTGAGAATTCTTATCATTTAATCATCAAGTCCATTTATCCTAAATGGTTCTGTAAAGATAAAAACCAAAACAAAAATAGAAAAACTACTCATTTCAATCATCAAGTCCATTTTTAAATTCTATTAGCTTTAATTGAATTTGAAATGTATTTTTTCAATTCCATTATTTATTCAGAATTGAAATTTCATGTTATTATACTTGAATTAAATACAAAACTTATAAAATTTCTAACTAAATTTCATAAAAGTACTTTTTTTGCTGTAAACATTCCCTAGGAAAACTCCCACTATTTCACGAACCACCCATAACCATGCCAAACAATACCCAAAGTTTAATTAACAATGGGCAAAGTCCAAACACAGGACATGTTCAAGCATATCAGCTCAGACAACCAAGTCTAAAGACGCAACATATTAGAACAAACCATCAGAATATGCTTATAAAAAAAACATCAGACTCGCGAACTATCACTTGCAACAAATGGTAGACTGTTAAAAAGCACAGTCTACTCCTAAACCTAAAGAATTTCCCTGCCCTAAGGCTTTTTTCTTATTCATCCATTGAAATTTGCAAATTTTGTTCTTAAATTCAAAAATATTATACAGAGGACCTCAGGAAATATTTCAGGGGATGCTTGTTAACAAAGGTGAATAATCAATTATTCATGCTCAATAATTGTTCACATCATAATCTACAGCCTAGAATAACAGAATGAATTTATCATATACAATTATTTTCAACACATCAACCAATCTACCAATTGAAACTATGAAAACCTGGGTAACATGTAAAAATATTTCCTCGTACTGTGTGTTTAGTCATGGAAGATATTTCTTCTTTCTGATTCCTGTTTTTCTGAATTTTTTTATAAGAAAAAGTATCAAAAGAGCACCAAGGGAGTGCAATCTGTATACAAAAAGTATTTACATTTTCTGAATTTCTCAAAAGTTAATTTCTAGAAATTGAAATTTACCAGTTATTCATTTCTTGGAAAATTTTTGGAAAGAACTTGCAATTTTCCAAAAGTTAATGTGCCCTAAGATTCATCAATTGTACTTTTTTCAAGTACTCCATCATTAATATGGTGAAAATGCAAGCAATTATCAATGTGGCAAGTCAATGTGGCAAGTCAATGCAGCACCTACCTGCAGCATTTATCACAGAAAAATTTGTCCTCAGCATTCAAAGTCTCTGTTGAACTAAAATTTTTCAAACAGCTTGTTATGGAACTGTTCTGTTCAATATCAAGGCTCAAGTCAAAGAAAGTTTCATCTCTTGCCGTCACTGTCTCACATCGCAAGCATTTTGTCTCATTGGTGAGTATTCCCTGGCTCAAATAGTCATACAATCTATGAGATTCTCGAATAAGCATTATGATCACCATTTAACAATGTATTAGGAAATAGGTGCAACACTAACAATGTATTTAAGAGGGTCTAACATGGAATTAAAAGAAAATGAAGGTATCAGCAATAAAACTTACACTAAGACTACCATTAAGCTGATCTGGTCAGGGCCATCATTTCAAAATTAAAAACTGGATTCCAAATAATATGGCATTTGAACTCATAAAACAAAGAGAAAATAGATAAGACATGTATACAAAAAGACAAACAGAGTTAAATGCTTTTAACTAAATGCAAAATCAGGATCCGGAATATGTGAATTGTCTAGCCAAAATCACCTGAAAATTTTTGTGCACCCATGTAACTAACGGCTCTTTTTGAACACCATTTGCCAGATGATTCTTTGGCCCGTTTGCAATTTTCTCAGGAGGTGAGGATGTTTCTTGATCACTTTTTGCAGCCTGAGCCTCTTTCTCCAATATATCAACAAGTTCATTTAGCAAAAAATTCAAGAATTCATGTGCATCCTGCAAAATAAAATTTGTACCATCAGGCCATACACTAAAGTTTCCAGCTTATCCAGATTAAGCTTCGCTAAACTAATTGCCAGCAAGATTCTCCATGGAAATTATGAACAATTACAAATCTACCAGATTTGAAATCTAGACTAAGTATAAATTTTATCTTATTCTGCTTCACCAAACTTGCATAACAAGCGCTCAGGAGAGCATTCTCTCAAATAAGCAGATAAACTGTTTCAGTATTCTCCTCAAACCGACATCTTAGAGGAAAACAAATCAAAGTTCTACAAGAGGGAAAAAGATTTTTCAAGTGTATCACAACCTATTCATTAAAATATGGTCACTCAGTGCCGGTTGTTAGCTTATATCATCCTATTCATCCCTTTCATCCTTAAACAAAGCTCAAATCTACATCTTAGAGGAAGATATATCAAAGTTCAATAAGAGGAAAGATTTTTCAAGTGTATCACAAGCTATTTTATTACAATATGGTTTATCAGCAGCGGTTATTAGCTTCTATCATCCTATTGATGTTTTTTTTCCTTCTAAAAATGTCCTTAAACAAAGCTCAATTTATCAGGTATGATTACCAACGAAAAAAAAAAAAACCAATGCATATAGCTCTGTGGAGTTATATGCATCAGGTTTGTTTTCCTTGTAAAAATGTCCCTAAACAAAGCTCATTTTATCAAGTATGGTTATAAGCAAACAAAAACCTGATGCATATAGCTTCGGAAGAGCTCATTCTGTTTCTTCAGTCTTTGTACAAAGCGCTTTGGAGCAATGACACCAGTTTTCTTCTTCTGTGAACTTATCTACATAAATGAGAAAAAAATAATAATAAATGGCAGACTCCAGAAGAATAAAAACTACACAGATGAGTTGGCATGACAATTCTTTATTAAAACAATCCGACTACTTATTGATATTAACAAAGAAGAGACATTTAATAACGTCATAGAGAATTCCCCCCCTCCCCCAAATAAAAAAAAAGATAACATCGCACATGAACAGTAATTTCCCCAATGATGCAGGTGAAAATACTGACAAACATGTCTCAAATCAATATTGCGAAGAAAAGCATTGAAAATTTTCCAATCCAATTGTAATTAAATACCAAAATGTGTTGCCTTCAAAAAACAAAATTTCAAAGAAGCACTCAAGTAGGAGAAACTCTTGCTTACAATAAGGTCTATATGATAAATCAAATTCTTGGAGAGCAACAGAAAGCTTGTCATGCATCTCAAGGTGGCATATCAAATCTGATTTGCAGAGAACCAAATTTGCAGCTAATTGAAAAGAGGGAAAAAAGAAAAAACATTTGTCTTCTTATAAAGTCCGATAACATCTATCATAAGAACTTTGTTTGTTAATGCTAACGGAAAAATCTGAAAACCACATAAAAAAAGATGATAAGTAACATATCCACTACATCAAGAGGATTATATCGTGGTTGTCTACCATACTAAGACCTGCATACATGCATACACAATTTTTCATATTTAAAATGGCAAGACATAAGAAAATCACAAAAACCATGGAAGAAATTATGTCATTAAGCATGGAGAAAATCCTAATACAACATTCAAGATGATCGTGACATGGAAGGGCAAAAGATGTGAAACAAAAGCATTAACAAGTCAATAATTATACTTCAATAACCATAAAAAAGGATCCCAAGGTGATAATATTATGAGTTTATTTGTTTACAACAATGTAGTATGAACATTATTGAGATTCTACCATTAAAGTGTTCTAAGAAGGAAGAGAGTATTTTCTAATTTCCAGGGGAAAGAGTTGACGAATTAAGGGAAGTACTAACTGATGTAATAGAAGTGAAGAGTATTATTACTCACTAAAGCACCAAAACGAATTTATAGAGCTATCACCTGCGTAAATAAGTCGGCGAGGCATGTCAAGAGATTCTCCTCAGCATCCCCAACATTTTTATTATTTGCATAATATTCCAGCAATTGTTCGCGAAATGGAACACAAAAATAAAGTGCCTGCATAAAATAGGAAAAAAATTGAAATTTCAGTGAGGATTTCTAGATGACAATTTTCAAACATTATTAGGAAGCCCTAAAGACATAATAGAAGACAACATCTATGCAAAACTTCCTAGCAGCTTAAAAATAATACAACATTTATATTTTATGATAAGCTCCCAATGACCTGCGCAAGAATCTTTCCAGGATTCAGTCAATTAATGTTTTCAAAACTTCTTCCAATGAACTACCATCTCAAAGAAAAAAATTCTTCCAATGAACTAGATTCTTGGAGAATTAGGTTCAGAAAGATACTCGCTGCTGATCATGGTATGATAGATGATAACATTCTCCCTCAAACAATCATAAGATTCATGTTTCCACAACTTCTTCCCATGAACTAGTGTCTTACAACATAGACTTGTGTTAGAAAGATAGTCGACAGTTATCACAATATAATGGAGGATAACATTCTCAGTCAAACAATCACGTGATTCTCGTGCATGTTGCAACTACCCTTGTCCACTTTTACTTCTATTTTTATACAATTTAAACTTCCAAAAGTCTCCCCCAGATAGGTCTGTTTTTATACAACTATATCTTCATAAATGAATGCATTTCTTCAAACCAGAACCTTTATAACCACAATGATCACATCCAGATAGGAACATGAGAACAAGACAACAATAAGAAGAACGAAAACAAATGAATTTGTCAGAGAAAATTTGACAGCACAACCTTACTTTCTAGCATCGGCTATTTGACCTTTGGATTATGATTTTCGAAAATCTATCACTTTAGAAAAAATAATGTTAAAAAATTAAAGAGCTCAAGCTTCCTCTAACACAGTCCAAAACTAACTAAACAGCTTAATACTCAACCAATGAACCAACCTAAATGGTCCAGCCAAAAAATAATAATAATAATAATGAAGAAGAGCACCAGCAACAACGTTGCATTAAATCAAAACTACAGGCAAGACAATAATCGTCCAAAACTATAATCTGCGGAACATTCGTAAACTATCACATACTTTGAAATTTCTAAACTGCAAATTGAAGATGTATTGCACGAAGGCCTGTGAATATAATTCAAATTTATTATTTTAAGGGGAAGATTTATTGCACAAAGAACCATTTTCAGACCATTTCAACAGGAAGCAAATACCAACACAATCACTAACAATTGCAAAGTAAACAATCGCCAGAAATTAACCTCAAAAACCCCACCGCGATCAACACGCACAAAGAAAAAAGTATAAGCAGAAATTAGGTTCGAATGAGGAAGAAAACAAATTGGAAAACCTGCAAAACGCTGTTGCAGTAGCAAGTATTGCCAAAATTCTCGAGTCCGAAGTATCGCTCGCCTTCGGGAAACTGGTCGCCCAGAGCTTTCTCGAGTTTCGAGCCGGCAGCACCCATTTAGCGCGTAGTTTTCGCACTGCAGTCTCTTAGATCTTTCCTCGGCCGATTCAACTCAGTGATTCCATAAACTGTCTCTCTTGCCCAATGTTCCCTTAAATCGTTAGGGTCCTTGTTTCGGTAATGAGAAATTTCTACGAAAAGGAAATGAGGGTTTCGTTCTTTAGCTTTGCTTCCTGATGAGCAGAGAGAAGAGGAGACTGCAAATTAAACAGGGTAAATATATCAATAAACTAATTGGAAAGAAAAAATAAATAAATAAAAAATAAAAAATAAAAAGACTAAAGTGAATGAGATGGCCCCTGCTATTGTGTACTAAATTAGATAATAATATTTGGATAAAATATTTTATATTTTAATACTTGAAATTAGTATCAACTAATAATTTTAATGGCGATAATAGCGTAACAACTCTATTTTAAAAGGTTAAATACGTAAATTAACCATTGTGTTATTTGAAAATCTTTAAATAATATTAATATAATTCAAGTAAATAATTTTTATTTAAATTCTATTTATGAATAATTTATTAAAAATAAAAATTTAATATTATTAACCACGCATCTTGTATCATCTTCTTGGCTTTTATAGATATAAATAAGAGAGTGAAATATTATTGATACAATTTGGAGACAATAAAATGTTGAGAGTAGCGATGGGGAGAGGACGTGATTAGTGTTGATGCCAAGTGATGATAGAAAGAATGTGAGATAGAGATACTGACGAATGAATTTAAGATTATTATTTTTATAAGATGTTACCGTAAATAATTTTTATCTGAGAAATAAATAAAAATCACCCTTATGGATTATTGTTATTTGTAAAAGTGAAACCAAAACAAGTAGTACAAGTGTCACTCCCTCTCTCTCTCTTTCTTTTTTTTTTTTGGTTGAGAAAAGTAGGCAGTGATAAATTAAATATTATTTTATTAAAAAAATATGTATTTTATACGTATCTAACTGGAATAATATTAATAACAAATTTTAATGACAAATAGTTTACTTAAATTATCTGAACATTTCCAAATAACACGGCAGTTAGTTATATATTTAAACCCATACCAAACTTAATATTTATGCATTATATACTTTGAATAATTTTCTTAAAAAAATTTTAAAATTTTGTAGTAACCGTCAGTTCATTCTATTTATCTTTTTTATATCCTTAATTTTGTCCTATTCTTTTAATTCTTTTTAATTCAAATAATATATGTGAATATTTGTATAAACTAGAGCTAAAATTTATATCTTGATCATAAATTATAATGTTGGACCTTTAAATTATTAGATTGATTCTCTTAAATTATTAGAGGTAAAAATAAATAAATAAATAAATAACTTTTTTTTTTTTTTGGGAAATAAACTTAAAAAATTAATACCATTAAGCAACACTGGTTTTGCTGGTTGCATTCCAGAGTCACGTGTTTGCCAAACTGTAATCCCAAGCACAGAGAAGATGAGTTGTAAATAAACTTTTATGCCATGTCATGCGTAGTTGTGGTCAGAGGGTTAAAATGGGTAATTCACTTGAATACGTAATCCAAACGGTAATTAACTTTCACTTTTATGTGACATTTAATAATTGGGGTCACAAACTTTTAAATTCATAATTTTTTAAAAGAATTTGTTTATTTTTTATTCTCTATAAAATTAAGTAATTAGAAATTTCAACTTTACACGCCTCATTCTATATACTGTACACATATATGATATATGTGTGCATTTATTTATATATGTATACATTGAATTAGTCAAATAATTAAGGATAAGTTTTGTTTAAATTTTTATTATAACACAAATAAAACATAAATATAATAAAGTAAATATTTAAATAAAAAATAACACCAAATTATAAGTCAATTATATGTTTATCTTATTAAGTTGAATTTTTTCTTTTTTATTCAGTTACTGCGATCTAAAGATACAAATTCATATAATTAAATATATAAGTAAACTACTTCAATTATATATGAAATAATATTCTTAAAATTAATTAATTATGCATATTTTGTAACACCTGGGTCTAAAAATTTAGTACCAAATAATTTTACATTAGTAAGATAATTTATTAAAATAATTTAATTTTTTTGATTTATTTTTATGAAATTTTTGAGAAAAATATATTTATGGATGAAATTGAAAATAATTTTAAAAAAACGGAGTGAAACTGTGAATCCTTAAAACGGAGTGAAAAAATGGGGTGAAACGGGATGTTTTTGACAGCAAAATTTAAAACAAGTGGTAAAATTTCATAAAAGTGAAATACGGCTACATGGGACAGCCACATCAGCATCAACGAGGAGTTAGAACCCGCCGC